TTTTAAAATTTCTTCCTTACAAAGGTTCAGTAAAATTAACTTCATCTGTCCCTAAGAATGACATCAGGGAAATTTACATGATTTGATAATTTTTTTCCAGTGTGTTTGGTTGTGGTTTGGTTTGCGTTTTTTTGCAAGCCTAGGAAATTATACATAACATTGACATTTAAAGAAGCCATGGATGTAAAATCAAGAACTCAAGACTTAGGAAGCCATATTATTAAAGCTGTTTGCACCCTAGCTTTTAACGTGTTTCTATGCAAACAGTTCAGTTACCAGCTCATGCTACCAGTTTTGATCGAGCTCAATGTCTCAACCACCCCGATGATGATTATGTCTGTTATAAGAACAAGTCAGGGCATTATAACATAAAAAGTTTGATTTCTACAGGAAATAAACTTTGACAAAGTTTAATGAATAAGGCAGCAAAAAACGCAAAGCAGTCCTGGTTAATGCAGCCAAATGCTGCACTGAAGAAGAGGATTCAGCTCTGCTGCTTCCTTGGACTGCTCAAGAGGTACTGAAAAAATCACTGAACCCAAACATTTCGCCAGCAGTTACTGATTTCTCACATCTCTCCTCCATACCCAACACTGCAGGTTGGCAATATAAGATGCCAAAGCACTCAGAACTAGGGAGTTTCTATGAAACATGAAGTCTCAATGATCACTGGACCTTAAATGTGAATAACTTGCTGTCATTTTGAGTCACCTTGCAGCCCTGGACCCACCCAAAACCTGTGACTGTGCTGGACCTGGACCTCCTCGAGCCTCACTTCTTCCCCTGTGAACTGGAACAATGCTATTATTTCTCTTCATAGGGGAACTGTAAAAATACCATGCAGACCCACCACCTTGTATGCATATGTAAGCACGTGGAGGTCAGGGAAGGACTTGGGTATTACAGCAGTAAGTGCCATAGGAAAGCCCAGCAGTAATTATTAATTCCATTTTCAAGCTCGGTTTGAATACAGCTCAACAAACGAAGCACGGAAGAATGAGGGCAAGATAAAATATTGACTAGCTGCTCCATCATTGTCTGGGCTGTGCCCTAGATAGCACAAGGGTATTTTGAAAAAAAGCAGAATGGAAACACCTAATAAAGGCTGGAGCTTTAAGGATTTGAATTTTCAAACCTAATTTTTTTTTTTTTAAGATAATTTCAGTGCACTTGTACATAACTCTAAATAGAGAGACAGTCACATATAGGCAGGCACATATAGAGAGGTTATATAGGCACAAATATACAAACATCTACCCGTGTGTACCGAGACTTTTCTAAAACATAAACAAGCATCTGACACCTAGTGCAGCCCCTGATGAGAACTGCTCTCTCTTCTTTGCAGACTACTACCAGTAATTATTTACTATTAGTTCTTAATGGGAAGGGATTCAGGGGGGATGTAGTAAACAAGAAAACCGTATAGATTGTTCAATACAGCCTAGCTGGCTCTCAGCTGAGACAAGAAGTGATTGGCTCACACCTCCTGGATATTTCAATCACAGTTTTTATCACCCGGGAAAAGCACCTTATTAACCTGTACTTGGTCAGGTCTCTACCGTGTCCATATAGGCTGACAAGATCATACAAGTGCCCCTTCTAGTTCATGTTACCAGGCTTCGAGCCCTAAACTGCTGTGGGGTTAAACAACCAACACAACAGAGACCTGAACGGCAGAGATTTATTTTTATTTTGCAACAGGGTAAAGGCTCCCTCTTCCCATAATAGAAACATCCAACCGAGGCAAAAAGATTGTCCTAAAAGGCAATGCTGGTGATTCACAAGTGAAGCTGTCATGTGTGGGGGGGAGGGGAAAAGGTCCTCCACGTGGGTTATTTCATTACTTTAAAATAAATAAAAGAACCCAAGGAAAAGGGTCATGGTGAAGGGACTGTGGTATTTTTAAAGACATGTGCCCTACTGCGGATACATTTTCTGGCACGTCTCTCATCATCACCCCATTCCTGTGACTCCTCCACCATCAACAGGAGTTACGTGCTTCAGCCTGGGGAGCCCCAGCACCGGGCAGCCCATGTGTGAAAAGCACCGTTTTTTTTCGTTACGGCACAGAACTGAAGTATGCAACCAGCACACACTGTAAAGGCATTCAAGATATGACAAAAAAAAAAAAAAAAATTGTTCAAATGCTTTCAATCTGCAGAAAACAAATGCTCTCTTCACTGACTGCTCTGTGGCAAACTTCTAATTCCAGCCAGAAAATCCAGCATTCCCAGTCTGGGCTAACGACCATGCTACCAGACATGAGTTTATGTTTTTCATGCACATTTCATGTATTCCCACACGCTGTGTTGCTGCCAATAATTTATGACTGATCTGCACCCAGCCTGCCCTTCAGCATTTTATTTAATCTCTGCAACAGTGATTTACAATGACTCATCATTAATACAAAAATGTACATGTGTGTTAACAAGTTTGGAAGAATCTAAGAAGGAAGGCAAAAATTTTTTTGCGAGTTGTGGCTGAATGACTTATGAGCCTGCTGAAGAAAGGCAAAACTAACCAGAAATGATATGTTAGTTTTTCCCTGCAGCAAATTATTTAGGCAAGAAGAGTTTCTTCTGCACGCTGCCTTGGAAGAAAAGGGATTCAACAAAGGCCTGGAGAGGGTTGCCCCATACCCTCCAGGATTTGGGAGGGAGTGAGTACCTCATTGGTCACCTCATGGATGGGTATTTCTCATGCAACCTGCGCTTCCAGCAACAGCTTCACAGCCTCCTTGTTCCTTAGCATTCCTTATAAAAAAGCAGGGGCCTGAATTGCCAGATTTTGGCATCTCTGCCCACCACCTGTGATTTAAGAAACCCCAACTGCCTCCATAGTGTTGAATCCTTGTTCTGCTGGAGAGAGAAGGGGAATTGTCTCAATAATTTATGCAATTGTAACACTACAGCAGAATTACTGAACTAGCTCAAGCAGAGGAAGCCTGCCCTACATCCACAAGGATTCAGTTATAATGTATTTGACCTCCTTTTTTTCTTTTTTTTTCCTTTTTTTTTTTTTAACTAGCACATAAGGAACTTACAAGAACACACCTGACACAAAGCCAAAGTAAAAACTTCTTATATTTGAGGTGAGATGAGTGCTAAAAAACACCCTGGAAAGTCACCTGGGAGAAATTCAAACAGCTTTAGTTCAAGGCATCCCACGTTCATCACCTTGAAAAATTTCTTTGAAGGGCCATCTTAAACTGACACACTTGCCCACATTGAATCCTACACTCCCGGACCCCGCAGACGCAGCGCACCCTCAAGTCTACCTCATCGTTAAATAAGACCCTGACAAATATACACAACTTCTCAATGGGCCAAAGTTCCCATTGTTGAACTGAAGGACAACCATATATATTAGGGTAATGCCCAGATGAAGGCTGGAGGATGTAAAGCTGAGGCAAACACTAATTTTTCCTGGCCGAGCCAAAATACTGTAGGTTACGCTACCTTATAACACATAAATTTTGTGTTTAGTGCCTTTTATTCCTCCTTTCTAAAAGTATCTGGGAAGCATACTTCATATCCACTAAGTATTTGGTATTTCCCTTTATTCAGCGTCTTAAAGGGCTTCAAAAAATTGATCTCCCAGGGCTGCTGTGGGGTCACAGAAATTGATAACCCTTACAAGCTATGCTTATGTGAGCCCGCCTGCGTCTCCCAGATAGTGCACTTTGTAAATTAATCCTCCAAAGGCAAATATATTGTAAGTAGCTTGTTATCTCTAAAGTACTAAATTGAAGAATACATGGGATTATATTGACAGAAATTACATTTTCTGTAATGGGGTTTAATATATCTGAAATCTCTCCCATAGGCTCCTACTCTCTCTAAGAGAGGAGGGTTTGTTAATGTAGGTGCAATGGACATCAAGACCAAATTTATTCACTAAAATGGATTAGGCCATGTAATCAGAGCTTCAGTAATATTAATCTCTGACACTTATTGAATGGAAAAAAAGAAAAAAAACAACAACTTTTGTCTGCAAACTGGCATTCCTCCCTCCCTTTTCCCCAGTAGGCTTGCTGTTTGCCTTGGCCATTTTCTGGGTATTACTTCAAAGAGGATAAGGTTTCCCGTCATAAACACTAATCTAAAAATATTAGGACAATTAATTAGATACACTTAGTTTTACAAGGTATTAGATTGCAACACACTTCAAATATGACACTTGTTCTGGGATAGTGGGAGGAACCTACATTTTGATGCAGTATCAAAGGGTGATAAATCACACTTTTTTCAAAAAAAGGTTTGCTTGCTGTATGACACTTAAATCACAAGTAATTTTCACTAGTTGCCTTCACCACACCCTGGACAGTCAGCAACCCAAAATCCACTGCAGAAACAGCACAAATCCTGATTTCCTTCAAACAAATCACTACTGTAACAGATCAGGGGCTCCACCAAACCTTAGCTGGAAAAAATAAATAAAATTGCTCCACACTGTACTTCAGTAGCAAAGGACCAGACTGTTCTCAAAGTTTATTCAGGCTTTCAAAAACCAGATTTTTAAAACAAACCCATAAAGAGACACAAGGATGTCAGTCAAAAAGAAAAACTCCACCAACAACAATAAAAAAGCATGACAGCACCCCCAAATAACAATACACTTGGCAGAAATGGGACCAACTGCCCCTTTTCTTTCACTCAACATCTGAACCTCTTCCAAGACCAACGTTCAGCAAATGGATATGCCTTCCTACTGAAGAACACACGTTCCCAGCCAGAAGGACTGGCACCCAAATGGCAGTCTGAAATCTGAATCACCGAAAATTTGAGATCTGAAACACTGAAATCTGCCCAAGTGACGGGAAAATAAAATACAGTAGCAAACCTCCTAGTTACTATACCTGAAACCACTCACTTGGCTAAATCCCTTTTGCATCAACAAACTGTTGGGGAGAGAAAAAACAAGGGCAAGCTGTGTTTCGCAAAACTACAAAGCCAGAGGGTGCCAGGGGCCATACAGAAACACTAAGGAAAATTACTTACCAATTGTTCACTTGAAGTATAGTGAGCCCTGTGTCTTGTGCCAACTGCTTTTTCTGTTCTTCTGAAGGGTAAGGGTGCTATAAGACACCAAAATAAATATATACATTTAAAACAATGCACTTTTTTGGCCTACTTTTTATTTCAAATTAAAAAAAAAAAAAAAAAAAAAAAAAAAAAAAAAAAAAAAAAAAAAAAAAAAAAAAAAAAAAAAAAAAAAAAAAAAAAAAAAAAAAAAAAAAAAAAAAAAAAAAAAAGCAAAACCCAAAACCAAAACAAAACAGAAGCATGACATCTATTACTGAAAGGTGAAAATGCTGAGGTGTGTCACTCATTTATAATTATTAATGGGCTACTACATCACTTAATTAATGGCAGTAAAAGACAAGCCAATTATAAAGATTAGTGAAGTGGAGAAATAACTGCTTAGGATACTGACAGTACCTTGATACTTGAGAAGGATATTTGTTGCATTAGCTGCAAGTTTTTTGTACTTGTCTCAAATGACTGATTAGAGTCAAATCATCTTTTTTTTTGTTGCTTTTTTTCTGTATTTCACAGAAAAATAAAGAATGTGATAAAGCACTGCTCTGTAAAACTAAAATACACTGATGTTTTCTGAGATAGTGAAGGCAAAACTTGCCAGTGCCCCCAGATAATTTGCAAATAAGATCAGCATCCTGAACATAAACAAACGCCCGGGTTTTGAACACAGGCCAACACAAGGTCAACAATCAGCACATTTTTGCCTGACATTAACATAGCTGTGCTGCACTAATCCTAAGAGACAGAAAATAAATACTGCTTTAATTGAAGATAATGTTAAAATTCAATCATAAGTTAAGTTTCTTGTGAGAACTTGATTTGCTTTCTCAGAAAATTTGCTTCTGCATGAATACAGATTGCTTAATAAATCAACAGCAAAAACCACAGCCAAGTTTGAAATGCAGAAATACAATTTCTGTCCTTTCCCTCTACGTAAAAATATCACTGTCCCAAAAGGAAATGGGCAAATATTGCAAAAGTAACAATTTCAAGGAAAAGTCCTGGTTTGAGTATCTGGTTCAGCTCCTAATCTGGATGCCCATACCTTGGATTTAGACCTGGTCTGCTGCAAGGTGCTTAACAGCATTTCAATAAAGATAATTTGATAGAACTGCTTAGACCTATCCCAACGCCATTTAGCAATTGATTGTCACAAAGTATTTGCTGTTACACAATCATCCCCTTTTTTCCCCCCAAAACATTCCCATATTCTGTGGATGTATTCTTCAGTGTAATATTACATGAGATGTAAACTGAAACCTTGTAAAGCATAAGAATTTAAAACCTCATAAAATTCCACAATCTTATTGGTATCGTAACTATTTAGCAGATTTTATATATTCTTGTAAACAGCACAGTCTGACATCCCATGGTTACATTCCATGCCTGTATCACCTCATGTTACCAAACAGGAATTTTTGTTTTAACTCCAGCAACTTCCCCTAACTTGATATGCCCATTTCAAAGGCCACCACTGTGGCCATCAGCTCCATAGGAGAATTTTGAATTTTTTGTCACCCAAAAACACAGGGGAATTTTTCAGGTCTTTTTAAAATACTGTTTTCTTGAGAGGAAGCCCACAAGTAACCTGCACACCTGTAAACCACCCCCTGTTCCAAATGTACATGAAAAAACTCCAGAATTGCAAAGTGAAAAACAGAGGGAAGGGGATTTTACTTCTTGGTTTTTTACAGGTAATTTGCACACATGCAAAAACACAGCATGCATTTTATTGTCCACATTCACATATACACATTCATCTGCAACAGTTAAACTTGACTTATGCCCACCTATCTGAATACAACATTTTGCTTCCCTTCAAAAAGAAAAAAAAACCAAAACCACACAAAAACCCCCACCTACAGAGATGATTTGTAACATTTTCATCTTCACAGCCTACTTCCCATTTCATTACTTTGCTATCAAGCGAGGACAGAATTATTCTTTTTTTTTTTTTTCTTATTTTGCTTTGCCACCTTACATGTGATCTAATTTTAAGTAATTGAACAAACTGTGTCTAATTTCATGCAGCAAGCAATAATTACTAGACAGCCTCTAGCTATTGGAATTGAGAAGTCTGTCTCCATTAAGCAATTTTCAATTGTTCTGGACTTTTTTCCAAATAGACAAGACTGGATAAAATTAGCCATCGGAATAATACAGTCACTGTAAAATTAATTGCTTTAAAAGTCCCAACCCCCCAAATTCCTCAAACTGTGGTATGTTTAAGGTCATCTGATTATTTTTTTTCTTCATATCCTAGTACAGCATAAACTTTTAATTTCATGATAAATCTGTAATTGCCATAATCACATGACAGCCTGGGATTTCACATAGCTAATCCCTCTTAGCTGAAGGCTCCCAATGCAGCAGGTTTTTTAACTATCATTTGGTGTGGTTTAAAGTAATCTTAAACACTAGGCATCCTTATTATATAAGCTTTCTGCGGATCGTACGAGTTGTTCCTTTGTAGGCTAAAAATAAAATAAATAAAATAATAAAAATGACTTGACAAAGAATCAGCGTGCCACAGGCTAGGTTGCTATAAAAACATTCAAAGCCTTGTTGCATTCCCACCCACAGGGCTCAGAAGGCCTGTGCTACAGGCAAAGGCAGACATCACATTGCACCAGAGAGAAAGGGGGAAACCCTGAGAACTGCCATTTTATGAAGAAATAGGAATTTCAGCCGAAACTGTTGCTGTTGGCCTTTGTGCCTCCTGTGCAAGAACGACAAGTGCCTTCCCAAAGCTTCCTAATGGTTGTTTAAAAGGGATAAAGACACATGCACATAGATACGGGTATACAAATTGGTGTGTATGCAGGCATATTATATTTGCATGAGTATGTATAAAGTATACAAATATACCTATATATATATTAGTCAAATGGTTTTGTCTGAGATAGTCCTGTGAGGAGCAGAAAGCTGGATTTGATCCTTATGAGTCCCTCTCAACTCAAGATATTTTATGATTCTATGAAATATATAAATATATATATGGAAGCATGTCTAAAACCACCACACTGACTCCAGCTGACAAGTCCACCTATCGCTCTGGATCACTTTGGGATATCAAAGCAAACTGTTCAATAAACAGTGACTTGAGACCTTTACTTTGTTGTGTACATTAGCTCCTACCATTATCTCTTAAAAGCTTAATTATTTGCAAACAATTGATCAAGATGGGAATTGGAGAAAAGAGACGCCGGACCACCGGGAGAGCTGCAATGCATTAGGAGAGCAAACAGAATTACCTTTAGGTCTTATAATCAGAATTAACGATTGGGACCTTATGCAGGGCAGCACGAGAAGCTGTAACACTCATGTTGGAGTGTTTTCCATTTGATCTGCATTAACACCTCGAGTGAAAGCTATAAAACAGTGATTACAGATGGGAAGGCTGACCCTCCTTCCCAGAACCAGCCCAGCCTGTGTATACTGGAAGACTGCAGACGGGCTTTCTTGCCAAGGCCAGAGGAAAAGGGCAAATCCAAGGGGAAAAGCAAGTAGGAAGCCATCAGGTTAAAAAAGAAAAATTGAAAAAAAAAAAAAAAAAGGGGAATAAAGCTGACAACAAGATAAGGGCTCTGAATTTGGCTCTGATATTTTCTGATCAAGCCTGCTGCTGCTACAGCACTACAGAGCAGCATCCACTGAACGATATGAGACCTTGTGCTTTTCCCCTTCCATAAATCTAGCGCTGAAATGCGGATTGTTTGGCACCATTAATGTGTTTTTGAGGCTCTGTGGTATTACTTTTAATAATGACTTAGTACAGAAAGTGATTGCTTAATAACACCATCAAAGTCTGCATGCAAATGAAAATTATCCCTGGGGGATTTGCCCAGGGTAATATGAACAGTTAAGGAACATTTGAAAAGGTAAAAATAACTATGCAAAATATGAGTCAGAGCAGTCGCTTTAGCGGTAACAAAGAAATCAAAGTGACAGAGGGAAAAACCTAAGTTTCCATCATATTTTCTCGTCACTGTTTTATGAATGGTATTTAGCAAGCAACAGTCTTAATAAAAGCCCCTTTCTGAATGTAGCTGAGAGCATTTTTAGCAAAAATAAACCAATAAGACTTTTTTTTTTTTAATCACCTTTGACTACAGACGGTGGGTAAAGTCTCCAGTAGATACAGATGGAAAGCGGCCAAGTTTGTCTCTTAATGTTACACCTTGTCCAAATGTACTCCTTTCCTCAAATTTTCCACCCCAGGCAGCAAATGCTGGATGCCAGGACAGTGACAGACTTTATCTTATCTGCAACCTGGTATCAGAAACGCTGCCTCCCTCCCTCCCTGCCATAGCAGTGCATCCAAATCGCGGCAGAAAAATAGGAAAATAATCCTGCCCAGAGTTCACCGCTGAGATAACGGAAGGCAAAACCACCCCTTCTCGCTCCCCCCTGGTTACTAATTCCTCACGGCACCAAACCGGCTCAACACCAAGGCTGACAGCCAGCCCTACTCCAGCACCGAGGCAGGAGCAATCCCCCAGCAAAAGGTTTCATACCACGTTAGAAGGAGGCTGTGGCAACCGTCCAGCTTCACCCTTATCGTGGCAGCGCCGTCGCTTGGCTGACCGCAGCGGGAGGGCCATTTCGGAAGTCCTTTTATCCCCTTCCTCCAGCCCTCTGCCTCCTCCAGAGCTCAGTGTAATGCACCAAGGTGAGATGACCTTGAGCTAAACTCTGGTAGGTGATGCAGAGAAAATGCCCCCTTGAAATGTACGCCTTCAGGAGCATTTATTAACTGTTTTCTTATGTCTAAATAAAAAAAGGCAAAAAAAAACCCCAAAAAACCAAAACCCAACACTGTAATTTCCTAGTTTCTGAAGAGAAATCCAGCCTAGCTCTGTACCCAGAATAAAGCCCAAGGTTCAGCCCTCCAGTGACAAACTGCACATTGATTTTATGCTGAACTCTAAATTCTTGCTTTACTCAAACTTGTCGAGGGTCAGCTAAGGTGGCAGTGCAGCCGTTTGGGTCTCTCCCCTTCCCCTACCTTCTCCTGGTTTGCATTTGAACTGTT